TCAATTATTTTTTACTATTAAGATATAAGAAATAGAGAATTTATATTTAACCTTTTGAAATTAATATATTTAAATATGTATTCCATATTAGACCGTTCTTTTTAATTGAACTTCTTGCATTGTTCATCTTTTCTTTTCGAAGAAGGAAAAAAGAGGAAAGATAGACGGTATAAGAAATTCAGCTAAAAAGAGCAGACATAATTATATATAATTGATAATGGTAAAAAAAATTTTAAAAATCAAAAGGACACTTGAAGCTATATTTATTATCAATTTCTTTATTATAAAAATTTCGGTAGATTTTATTATATTTTTAATTTATGAAAATACTAATTTAGGGGAAAAAATCAAAAACTCGAAAAAATTCCTAAATAATTCAACGATCGTTTTATGGTCTGTCCTCCGAGAATGGTGCATGTGAGAAAATGAATGTGTAATAAACACATACATTTAATCATAACCACGTTCCACGTTTCATCGTTTCAATATTCGTTTCTCTCCTTTCTTTTATATCAATAAAATTTACATTTAATGCCTATGCCGACCTGTCATCGCAACGCGTTTTGGTTCCTTTTCAGTTAGCTCGACGATAATTTCTACCGTCAGCATCGCGATAATCTCACAATTACTTTTCTGTATATTTCGAATCGAATGATCATAAAATTATACGTATGCGTACATATTAGCGGCATACACGATGAAAATTACGTTTAGCCTAGAGGCACATGTATATCCGGTATAAAGCGACACTGCGTACAAATTACACAAGATACTTGCAACTTTGCACCTCAATAATCGTTCATAGGTCGATTTAATTAAAGCTTTAGAGCAATATTGATATTAATATCTTGCTCTGGCGTAGCTTATGACGTTAATTGATGACCTAAAGTTTCGTATTAATTTGCTTCATCGTCTGATAACACCTGTTCTATCTTGCACATAATCGATTCCTTGACATATCTCAATTCAAATTCTGCCGGAAACTTGAATGGCGGATATATAACATAATGCATAATGTATCATATAATTGACTCGTAATATTTATTATGAATGCGTCATATTGTTCTTTTATTTTGTTCAAATTAATGAAACGAATATATATCTAATTTTATAGAAATATCTCTATATAATAATAATAATAATAATTTGATGTACTCTAAAAAAAGAAAATATTTTCAAAGCGATCTCAACTCCATATAATAAAATCAAATTCGCGAATGCGACGTCTCAAGTTATTTAAATTATTATCACGTGCTCGAAATAATATTTCACAAATTTTTTGCAATATCATTTGCATGCACATTAAAAAAAGTTGAATGTTGAAAATTTAAAATACCTGTTGAATATATGTATCTCACGATCAATGTCGTGTGTGTGTGTGTGTGTG